ACACACACACACACACACACACACACACACACACACACACACACACACACACACACACACACACACACACACACACACACACACACACACACACACACACACACACACACACACACACACACACACACACACACACACACACACACACACACACACACACACACACACACCACACACACACACACACACACACACACACACTGATCATTTCAGACTAAGTATTCACTAACTGATAACAAAGGACCAGATGTTTTGGGACACACGACACACTGGCTGAGTGATTCCTAAGAAACTCGATTATTAACAATATTTCATGAAAATTATTAAGAATTGATGCCTCGTTTAATCAATCTCCTCCTTAAATGTGTATTAAATATTAACTGACGATTTAAAAAGACATTAAAAAAGTTCTTCTATCTTTAAAATCCAGAATGTGACACGGCACTTAGAGATGCACTCAATGGGTTCATTTCTGACAGATATCTTTCTTATATTATTCATTAAAATAATTAATTAAAAAAGACATGCCTTTAAAAAGTATTTCTCTATATTTGTCATTTTTTTATTTCTTGAAGCATTTAAAAACTAAAACCTTCCATCTATCTGACAGATATTATACTTATATTAATTTAATCATTAAAACCTATTCCCTCATTTTTTAAATGTTGTGGTATATTGGACTGTAATATGTAGGATGACCTTACATAACATATTTTACTTTATTTGTGTTATACCCGTGTTATTTACGTTCTCAGTGTTAATATTGATTTGATTTCTATACGTTTAGTTTTTCATATTCTCATGATGAATTTCTTGGATTCGAGACCTTCTACATGTTGGGACCCCTCTCTAAAGAAACTGCTCATCTAAATAGAGCATGGATGTATAATAAGAACTGGGTACAGCGTGGGAGGCGGGGTCTCGTTCGTTCCTATGAGAGCTGCTCATTGGCGCATGAGGACAAAATGGCCCAACTTTTGAGAGAGCGAAACGTCACAGATTACCCAGCATGCCTAGCTGTCAGAGCAGAAGAACCCGTATGTGCGCTCACAGAGCATGCACCCCTTAAGCCCCGCCCCCCGAGCTCCCACTCTTGGCTCAGTAGAATGAATGGAGACAGAAAATAAATCTAGATTCGGCTTTTAGTGCATTTTACAACTTTAAGGACCAAATGATTCTAATAAGGGCTATAACATAGTTCATACTGGGTAGTTTATTTAGTATAAAAAAAAGTATCCGCTGATTTACAGATGTCTCTTTCCCAATGTTAGTCAATGGGGAAAAGTCTTTCTGGGCCCAGTGACGTCAAGGACTGATACGGAAGTGTAGTACCGCCGTTTGGACACAACGAATATTTTCACCAGAGTCTGGCGCACATCCTGGGGGCTTGATATAGGCCCAATCCCAAACCGCCCCCTACACACTACCCCTACGTGTGCGCGGAGGGTCCGCCATATTAAGTGCTGTTCCAAACCAACTAGTGTGGAGCGGTGTGGAGGGGGAGTGGGCTATCGAGCCCTCAAACAGCGAGTCTGCAGTGGTGCTGACTGGAGACCGGTCTCTACCTGACCGGAGTCACGCTGTGTGTGTCCGTCAGGAAACAAGCTGTTTACAAGCAGTTCCAGCAAACATCCACTGATAACTGCGATGTTAACAACCTCATGATAACCTCATATGTTTTAACTTAGGATCAAACCTGTGTTTAGTCTAGAAAAAGGTAAATGTGTGCATTTTATTATAAAGTTGTGTATATTTACAGACTGTTGCAAAAACTAAGAAGCTTATAAACATCAGGTTTAAAACTAAAAGATCTTTGAAACACAATGAAAGATGTTTGGAGTTTTATTTGAGTTATTCATTTAAACTTTTTGTCTATGCTGATTTGAAACCGCTGTTACATACAGTTACGGCATTTCCTGTTTCTGCCGTAGAGAGGGGAGGCCGTCCCAAAGCTTGCTGCTGTATTTACTCCCTCCATCTGACAGGAGGAGCCTCGTTGAGCTGCGAGTGTGGCTACAGACGGAGTTCACTCCGTCACGGAGGGGGAGTGTGTAGGGTAGGTTGTAGGGCATGGTTTTGGATTGGGCCATAGAGCGGTGCAGTGACGAGTCCTAAAACCCGGAAGTGAGTCAGCATTTCTCCACTTCCTGTTCCCTCGTCTCAGAGCCAATGGGATCTCTCCATAGGAATTTGGAAAATATCTGGAACTAAGGTCTGTGGTTGAGACTCATTGAAGAGACGGATCACGTTTTGTTCTACGACATTAAATCCATCAGCAGGGACCCCACTGGTGATTTCTGAAGAGTTGACGTGTCTGTAAAACGATGGTTGTTACCAAGTGGCTGAATAGGACTACAGAAGTTGAGGTCGTTGTACGTCATTACACCGAACACGTAAACACTCCTCTAAGTTAGTTTGCCCTGTTCTGCTTGAGAGCAAGTCCCTGCCTCCTGCAAAGTGTTCAAACAAACGCTTCAACTTGAACCATTTAGAATCTGTATGTTTAAATATAGATCTTGAGTTGGCGTGACGTTGAAATCGTGCTGCTGGACTCGGCTGTAGTTCCTTTACAGCATAACTTTAGCATTTTGCTTCTAGCGATTAGATTTATGATTCGAAATTATAAAAGTAGGATAGACATGTGGAGATTATCCGGCTGAACAAAACGTGCATTCATCAAACAGGTTCGTTTTCCAGACATTATTTCGAGCTATTTTCCGAAATCCTATGTACAAATCCCATTGCTTTTTAGTCGAGGGAACCAGCAGCTAACTTCTGGGTAAATAAGTCATCCCTGCTCCTCTCTATAGGAGTGCTATGGATGTAAAGGGGAATGTGAGAAAATAACTAATAAAGAATAGGTTTAAAAAATAAAAACCTATTCCCTCACCAGTAGTGCTGCGTACCTGGACTCACATTCAGGTTCAGGTCCGGACTGAAGTCCAGAGGTTCAGGTCCGGACTTATAAGTCCGGACCTGAACCCATGGCTTGTGTCATGTTGTGTGAGTAACTAAAGTGAACTTATTGTGAGCTAATTATCAATTGAAAATTAACTCATAATCAACTCAAATTCAAACTCATCAGGTTTATTGTGCTCCCTTCCAACTTGTGTCTACATTTACATTCTACAAAGTACAAATGTAAAAAAAACACTTTTTGCCACTTAGTCTACAAATGACTTATGACAGCAACTACAGTGAACCAGTGGCGTTTTCTCCCGGAGGCCAAGGGAAGCCAGGCTTCCCCTGTTTTTTCGGATTGTAGTTATAATTTAAAAAAAAACACTTTGTTTTGTTTCGATAATTCTCCTTTGCTGTGTGTTGCTGCCGGCCGTCGCTCACCCATTCTCATTGAGTATTTTACAAAGAGTGAAACAAACAGCGCCCCTCTAGATGTTATGGTGAAACATTAGATTGCACTCTCTGTTGCGAGAGGAGGCCAGCCGAATCTGGCTTCCCTTGGTTAAAAAAAATGGAGGGATTGACCAATCAGATGAGGCCCACGTGATGCCCCTGCCAACCTGTGATTGGTCAGGGCCATGCCAAGGGAAGCCAGCCGCCTCTTGCTTCCCTTCAGAGGCGGCTGGCGATTTGATTGGACACTGCCATCCAATCAAATCACATCAACATCAGTTTTAATACTGTAACTGTCATCACCGCCGTTAGAAATTATCAAGCAAATGAAGCATTATGGAGGGTGGAGATTTGGCGTACTTAATCAAACATAACTTTACTAAACTTCCGCTACAGCAGCAACTGAAAATTCAATCAGATGACAGGCCAATGCCCGCACTCGAGCTGTGTGTACACCAGTCTATGGTGTATCAGGGAGATAACGGACGTTCAATGAGGACAATTATGTCCGCACGGAGTGGCTAACTGGAAGCGCTAAACTTCAGCGTCTATTTTGCTGGCCATGTCTTCTTTTTGACAAGGATTCGTGCTCCCTGAACAATCCTTGGGCAACTTCAGGATTCATCGACCTTGCCAACCTGTCACGGGCAATTGAGAGGCACGGTAAATCCAAACATCACATAGATTGTGTGATTGTCTGCATACATTAATAAGTAAAATGCTTAAATTAATAAGGAGAGAGTTTCAGCTGGAGAGTGTGTGCGGACCTTTCGGTTAGATAACAGGCGTGTGCAAGTCCTGCATCTGTGTGATACAAATGTGTGTAAAACGATACCGGGCGCTGTAATCACTCATTGGTTACGTTATTGACCACCCCCCGACCCAAAATATGGGATTCCCCTACATTTTTCCCCACGCCACGCTACTGCAGTGAACTACTACAAAGTTCAAACATTTATTTCATTTACCAAACTAAAGTAACCAAACAGTCCCTGAGCTGACTGAGCCTAAATCCCTAAAACGTTGCTGAAAGGTAGAGTGTAGAGTAGACTATACGCATTACACTGTTACACACCTACTACACAGTATAGGCTACACTGTAGTGACTGTACAGTCAAAGTGTACTGTACTGTCTGTACACCATGTCTTTTCTACAACTCTACATGTGTACATTATACAGTACATACTACATACATAGTGATGTCGTACATACATACTGTTAGAAATTAAAATCAATGTTGATATGGCGTAATTTTGAATTAAATACACTATTTAATTTAAATCAGTTTTATTCTGAAAAAACCGGAAGTTCACACTATTAACTTAATACTTTTATTCTGAAAAGTATTCACTTCCGGTTAGCATTAGCATGTGGCGAAATGCTACGTTTTCAAACCGTGAATCGAAGGTGAAATGACATGTGATGTTGTACACTGAGCACACTGGGATTAGCACTCATTTATTGACGTTGAATAACGTTTATCAGGGAATGTTTAAATAACCAGAGGCACCAGAATATACATAAGTGCTAGTTTTTTTGCGAGTCCAAGTACCGGTTCCCGACGTTCCGGTTTTAACCGGACTTGAACCGAAACTTTTTACAAGTCCAGTACCGGTTCGGTGTACCGGTACGCAGCACTACTCACCAGCGTGACGGGCAGCAGGATGGTTAGCAGGGCGATGTGATGCAACACCAGCAGGAACTCTCTGCGCACGAAGGTGCTTATCGTCCTCAGCGAATGGCGCTTGTAGTCCTCGTGCCCTTTGACGCGGAAGCGGTGGTAGTGACTGAGATACATGGCGAAGATGTCGTACGCCATGTAGGGCACACCGAACCAGATGACAAAGTAGGTGGCCAGCCAGTGCCTGAGGAAAAACAAAAAGACCAATACAGGTTAATTAGGACAGAATACGGACAAGAGCAAATTGCAGGAAATGCAATATTAGGTCATTTAGTTGCTATCAAGTGTCTAAATGCGACTACTCAACGTCATCACGCACAACATTAGCCGCCTTTAGCTTAGCGGTGGAGACGTGAAGTCATGTGACCGTGCTGTAGTTCCTTTATAGCCCAACATTAGCCGTCTTTAGCTTAGCGGTGGAGACGTGAAGTCATGTGACCGTGCTGTAGTTCCTTTATAGCCCAACATTAGCCGCCTTTAGCTTAGCGGTGGTGACGTGAAGTCATGTGACCGTGCTGTAGTTCCTTTATAGCTCAACATTAGCCGTCTTTAGCTTAGCGGTGGAGACGTGAAGTCATGTGACCGTGCTGTAGTTCCTTTATAGCCCAACATTAGCCGCCTTTAGCTTAGCGGTGGTGACGTGAAGTCATGTGACCGTGCTGTAGTTCCTTTATAGCCCAACATTAGCCTCCTTTAGCTTAGCGGTGTTGACGTGAAGTCATGTGACCGTGCTGTAGTTCCTTTATAGCCCAACATTAGCAGCCTTTAGCTTAGCGGTGGAGACTTGAAGTCATGTGACCGTGCTGTAGTTCCTTTATAGCCCAACATTAGCCGCCTTTAGCTTAGCGGTGGAGACTTGAAGTCATGTGACCGTGCTGTAGTTCCTTTATAGCCCAACATTAGCCTCCTTTAGCTTAGCGGTGGTGACGTGAAGTCATGTGACCGTGCTGTAGTTCCTTTATAGCCCAACATTAGCCTCCTTTAGCTTAGCGGTGGTGACGTGAAGTCATGTGACCGTGCTGTAGTTCCTTTATAGCCCAACATTAGCCACATTTAGCTTAGCGGTGGTGACGTGAAGTCATGTGACCGTGCTGTAGTTCCTTTATAGCCCAACATTAGCAGCCTTTAGCTTAGCGGTGGTGACGTGAAGTAATGTGACCGTGCTGTAGTTCCTTTATAGCCCAACATTAGCCTCCTTTAGCTTAGCGGTGGTGGCGTGAAGTCATGTGACCGTGCTGTAGCTCCTTTATAGCCCAACATTAGCTTTTTCTCATTTGCCGATTGCATTTAACTTTTAAAAATGGTGGTATTATTATTATTATTATTAGCTTATTTTCTGCAATATACCATTGCTTTTTGTCAAGGGAACCCTTGCAATGCTTCCGGGTCGCACTAATACTAATCATCACTGCACTAGTCTATAAGCGCTGACTGGACTAGATATAGAAACAATTTTGACACGGAAAAAAAAAGATTTTTGAGATTGACATACCTCATACCTAGTTACATTATTTATCCTTAACACAGTGGAACTATTTGTTCAAAAATGTGCACTGAAGAAAAAAATGTGTAATCTTAAATGTTGCTTGGGAGCATTTTGACAAAACAACCTGACTCCACATTTCTCAGAGTTACGTAATTGATGAGTTAATGATTACGTGGTATTAGAGCAGATAGAGCAGATAGATGGAACAGTAAACAACCTTTAGCTTCAACACACAGGAACATGTAACCTATATGCCTTTTCTCTCAAACACACACACACACAGGCTTGAAGGCAGGCTTATGTAAGTACAGTATAAAACACAGCTCAGATGGCTGCAGCACTTTAATGAGCAGCGATTACCATGATGGTTAATTATGTGGACAGCATGGCATAAAGCTGCAGGGCAGAGCTGAGCTACTGACCGCTGACCCCTCATTGGATCTTCAGCTCTTAAAGGTCGGTGCATGCGGATTAAGAGCAGGAAGGCACAACAAACAGCTCCGGGTAGAAACAACGCTATGTCCATTTAAAGACTGTATTAAGTAGACCCTCCAGAAAAACGTGATTCTGCGATCGCAGAATTTACCGCACAATCAGCAAAATGGCGCAGATTTTTTAAAAGGCCGCATATTTATCAAAAGGCCGCATAATCCCCGCATTTTTCCACACTTAGTAAAAAAAATACAAAAGTGAACTCGTCTTGACGTGAAGTGAGATGATGATGATGATGACGCGACGTCATCAGCTCGCGCATCACAGAAGGTAAACAACAGCGTAGAGTGAACGTGTGGAGCTCACACGAGAGAGAAAACACCAAGATGAAAACATCTAATCCATCTCATTTACCGACGAACATTTCTGCTAAAGACCGGGCAAAGCAGTTCCCCGATGTCTCGCACGAAAGTGGGGGGAAACTATTCTGCACCCCGTGCAACTGTGTGTTGGAGCATAATAGAACATCGACGGTGACGATCCACTTTGATTCATTCAAACATTCGAACATGCTTTCTGCTGCTGCGGACAAGAAACAACTCACGTTCACCGAGGCATCGACCTCCAAAACCCTTTCGAGGGCTACAAGAAACGAGATGAGAAGCCTACGAGATTGAAGCTGGTCAGATATGAGTAAATGAAATGAAATGAAAACAGAATGAGGCGGAGGTGTGTGTGTGTGTGTGTGGTGTGTGTGTGTGTGTGTGTGTGTGTGTGTGTTTGTGTGTGCGTGTGCGTGAGAGAGTGTGATTAAAATAGCCCAATTGCTTTTACAATAAATAAACATTGAATGTGTTTAATTGTATAGTAAAGGGGTTTAACGTTAGCGGCAGGTTGTGTGTGAGAGAGAATAAATAAATAAGACATCCCAATATTTATTTTTTCCACATATTTAGCATATTTCCGCATATTTCACAACTTCCCGCAATTTCACCGCATAAAACCACATAACCCCCGCATGTTTGATCGCATAATCAAGGGTTTTAGCCTGCGTTTTTCTGGAGGGTCTAATTAAGGGCAAAGGGACTGCCTTTTTTAAACACACAGAGAAACATAAATACACCTCCCTAATGTTACATTTCATTATGATATTCTGTTACACCACTTAGTTGAATACTCGACTCTGATTGGTCAATTTGGGCATTCCAGAGGTTGTTAATTTGCAATAACAGACTGTTGCGTAAGAGGATCAAGGGAATAGAAAAAGGGACTAGGAAAAAAACAAGCAGTTTTAAGATAAACTTATCCAGAATATCTAAACCACTTTGGATGCAAAAAAGCTAAAAGTTGGACCGAAATAAAACAAGCTAATGTGTCAGAAAATAGACTCAACGATATACTAGTATAAGTATTTTCATATACGTTGGTTGTTGTATTGAATGTGTTAAAAGATACAGTATGCTTGAGGTAGTTTAAAAACGATGACAAGGCTCATCTTACAACAGGAAAGTGTCTTGGGTAAAAATGAAATTAAGAGATCCTTTTAAAAATGTTAATATTTAAAATGAATATCGGCCAAAACTCAAATGTATCAACATTATTAAAGGCCTTTATTGGTGCACCCAATATGTTGAAAGCAATCTCTTAGTTAGTCATATTTCCCCCAGGAAGTCGGCCTGTAAATTGTGATGTGGTTTATTTAGCTCATGTTTCTAGTCCCATCTGAATTTGTTTCTGGAGATGTTTCAGCGTCCAATCATCACAGCATTGATAGCGTTTAGTACAATATGTTATTATAAATCTGAGAAACAATGGCCGCTAGAGAGGGGCCCAAATTGTAATAAATCCAGATTCTTCATTAAGAGATCACAATTATTCTGTACATCTGTAAATGATATACCATCATATGTATATACAGTACATTATAAGCAGGGGTGCACATAACTGGTACGCATGCGCGGCAAACATCTGAAATGCGTACCGTCACTTGTGTCACTAAGCGCACCGGCGGACTTGTGAAGCATTTCCAGAAGGCGCTGCGATCGCTGGACGACAGAGCCGGTCGCCGTGCGCACAGACGGGGCTGCTGTTAACGTTGGTGTGTACAACGGAATTGTGCCTCAACTTCCGGCGTGTGCTCCACTCCACACGCGTGTTTCACTAGCGCCCACCTCTCCTGTCGACGTTCGCAAAACAGAAGGGCAGCCCTGAGTACCAAACATTGGCTCCTGGTACTCATTTGAGTAACTCACTAATACCTCATTCACACCAACGCAACTCCGGTTCAAGCTCCGTGCTAGAGCTTTTCAGGTTCAGAACCGGTTCTTCGGTTTAGCTCCGGCTCTTTTCACACCGCCCACCGCCCGTAAGCGTTTGCGTGCCTGCTTCATTAAGCCAAACCGCGTAGAAACCCCTCACAGCTGCTCACACCGACAACAACAACAATGGCCGATTGTGCTCCAGCTTCCTCTGTACCTCTTCGGAAGACCAGATTCCCAGCAGGTAGCTGGTCTCTTCAGTGGACCACTGCTGCTTGTTAAGTTTCTTCATCGTTGTGTACAAGCTGGATAAAACGCCGGCTTGTTGTTGTTGTTGTTCAGGAGTTGATCCCGCCCCTGCCCCCGCCTCGACGTAAGCGTGACGTATGTGGTGCTTTTGCTCTGGCCGGACAATTTTTTGGTGCTTGAAACGAGGCTAAGAGGCTGCTCCGCTGCGGTGTGAACAGGAAAACCCGGTGCTTTTCAAGCTCCAGCTCCGAACCGGCCCTGAAACACCGTTGGTGTGAATGAGGTATCAGAAAGTTATGTGCACCGCCTGTTCCTGCTACTGCAGTATTTTTGACCTTTTTAAAAAGAACATTATTACATTACATGTTACTTGTTAGACGCTTTTATCCAAAGGGACTTACATACTCGATACTGTGGACAATCCCCACAGGAGCAATTTGGGGTGAAGAGTCTCAGGGACACAACGACATGCGTGTCGTGCAGTGGGGTTTGAACCTGTGACCCCTGATCCCAACACCAACGCTCAACCCACTGCACCACACGCCTCCCCAAGAACATTTTAATTATCCAGACTATTTGATATACTATTTTTCATTTTCATTGTTAACTCTTTTCCACTTTTTAAGTATTTTTATTTTAATGTTGAGCACGCTGGTTCTGTAACAAAATAATTTCCCAATTTGGGATTAATAAAGTATCCATCTATCTATACTCCGTCTTTAAGGCCACAGGGTTTTAGTCAGGAGCCGTTCAGTGATGAGAATATTAAAAGATCCTTCTGTTAGCATGAGGTAGAATATGCACTCAACATATGGGCATTACCATGCTCTCTCAGCTGTTCAAAGTACAGTTTTTACTCGGTATTGGAGGTTTCCCCATGGCAGAAGACTGTTAAACACCTGCTCTTTTGAAAGAACATCCATAACAATCATCCATTTGCAACTTACAAATTATTTATCTAATATAACATATTCCAATTACTTGTATATAGACTCTCCTTGCACTATTTCTATTCTATTGTATTGGTTTTATTGTGTTGGAGGAGTCTGTGACCTAAGATTTTCATTGATATATCTACACTGTAGCTATCAACACATGACAATAAAAGCCTTGAATCTTGAGTCACTCAACATATGGGCATTAGCCTGCTCTCTCAGCTGTTTCAAATACATTTTTTCCTCACTATTGGAGGTTCCCCCACTGAAAAAGAAGCATGGACGGCTAAATAAAGAGACAGATTGTGATGGAGCATTAAGAGTGTGCATGGGTCTGATTTTGGAGCATGTGTCTCCTAAGCTCCAGGCCGTGTGCATGTCACAGGACGGCAGAACTGAGCGGCGTTGTGAAGGGATTAATCTCTGTGGGTGAAGGGGAGGGCCGGCGGAGATTAGCAGCCCTGAAACTGGGCCTGCCCGCTGACTCAGGAAGATTAACACGCTAGCATTAGCCTAGCGTAACACTACACTGCACCAGGGAAGCTAATGCTATGCTAACAATAACCTATTGCAAGGTGGCTGATGTGGAGCTTGATTTTTTACTGTACATGACATAACAATTGCTTAAGCATTGAGGCCCCACTGTGCCGATTATACGATGGACATTGACCATGTGTTATGCGGTAAAGCCCTTTGACTTATCTGTGATATTAAGAGGTACAATCATAGGTAGTCTTGAGATAGTGTAGCTGTAATCAGTAAAGCAACTCTTTGAACGATACAGCACAGCGGTACAGTATGTTTTTCTTTGCAAAAATGACAACGCAACACTTCCACAAACTGCACGGGGAAGCTAATGCTATGCTAACATTAACCTCCTGCCAGGTGGCTGATGTGGAGCTTGATTGTAAAGAAAAGGCTCTTCTTGAATTGAAGAAATGGAAGATATATATTTTTGTGTAGATAAAAAGGGAAAGATTTATTTTACAGTTTTTCTTTGCAAAAATTACCGTAGCGTAACACTTTGCAACACTGCACCAGGGAAGCTAATGCTAGGCTAACAATAACCTTCTGCCAGGTGGCTGATGTGGAGCTGGATTGAAAAGCCTCTACTTAAATAGAAGAAAATTGAAGATATATATATTTTTGTGTAGATAAAGGGAAAGTCTTGGTTGAAAAGACTGTATTTAAAAAAGGAAATTGAGGATACATAGTACAAGTGTTTTTTCTTTGCTAGCATTAGGTTAGCATAACACTTGCCTAAACTGCATGGGGAAGCTAAAACTATGCTAACTGGCGGAGGCATGTGGCGCAGTGGGTTCAAACCCCACTGCAGTCAGCATGTCGTTGTGTCCATGAGACTCTTCTCCCCAAATTGCTCCTGTGGGGATTGGACACAGTATTGAGTATGTAAGTCTCTTTGGATAAAAGCGTCTAAAAAGTGGCACGATAACCTCCCATCAGGTGGTTGATGAGGCGCTTGGTTGAAATAAAAGAAAAACTCAGAAAAATGTATATTTGTAGCAGTAAATGTAAAGAGTTTATGACATGAAATAGCTTGAGCACTGAGCCCCTGCTGTGGTAGATTGTGAATGGACATTGAGCATGTCTCATGGGGTAAAGCCCTTTGACCTACGTATGATATAAAGAGGTCCAGTCTGAAGATAGTCCCGTTGTAATCAGTGTTGTAGCAACTCTCGTACAGATATAGCACTGCAGTACAAGTGTTTTTTCTTCAAGGGTATTAAGGGCAGTCTAAACCCTGGATCATCTTAGTGTAGGTACACTGGTAACCCTTGTTTCCAGCATACAGTGCAGCCATTATACTGTACAGACGAGGCTGCTGGAAACAATGGAGTTTGTTGTATTCCCACACTTTGTCCTGGCTGTTTTCCTGCTTAGTTTAGAAACACAATGTTCTGTTATTGCTCAGCCTTTCAAAAACAAATAAATACTGAAATACTTTGAGCCTTTTCTTTTGTTACTCGTACATTTCTTGATAATTTACCAATCCACATTGTTTCTGTTGTGTTACATGTTGAAGGTACAACTAAACATATTGTTGCACGCGACATCAAGGGCTATGATTGGCTGTTCATAGATAGATAGATAGATACTTCACCTTGTCCATGCAACAGAACTATAAGTAGGTTTCTTTCCTTGCGACATTCATTTAATGCATTTACGTGAAATAATGAAAATGATATCAAACAATATTCTTAAAGCCATTTCTTATATGGCTTTAAAACTCGATTCCGATTGGTCAATTTAGATATGTTGATGCTGTGGGTACATCCGCAGAAGAAAGGCCCTTCCCCTACATATTTATAATCTTTTTATCTTATCTTATTAAAGGCAGCCTTGTGTCTTGGCCTTGATGAGTGCAGGTGCAAAGTAATGATTGAGTGTGGGGAAACAATGAGATGCAGAGAAAGGTGTGAAAGGGATTTGTTGGGAAAATACTGAATGTCCTCCTCCAACATGAGAGTAACGTGATAACAAAGGCATCCCAACTGCAGCTGTGAACATGACAGGATGTGTGATTACCTAGAAGAGCATCAGGACTGTTTGAGGCATGTGATAGCTATGTGATTAACATGATGATTCAGCCTCTATGGAGAGACATCAAGCATGCTCATTTCTGACGTGGAGCTAATCTGAAGTAAACATTGAATACTGCTTTCTATTCCTCCATCTTGTGACTGTGTAACTCCCTCTCTTGGATATCAGCATGTGAAGGACACTGTTCAGGAACTAGTTGATGCTCTGTATGTGATGACTTCCATTCTGGAGAGGATCACAGATACATGGATCCTGAGACTGAAGCTCAAGCCGGGGACGAGGGATATTTTTCTAACAGGATGAATGAAAGTTAGTCCGACCTGTCACTAATGACGCTGCCCCGGCATGACGACACCACGATGACTCCCGCCGTGGTCGCCATAACGGCATGGATGGAGGACACGAGCCTGAGAGAGACACAAACAAAGAGAAAGTGTTATATAAACGTCAGCAAATACATTCATTAAACACACTCTAGAAATCTGATTTAAAAAAATGTATGGTTGTGTTTTTAACTAGCCTAGGCATGCTAACAAGCTAAACTAAGACGGTTTATATCATGCCAGATTAACACCAACATTTTTATACATTTCAAAAAGGTAAAAAATATATATAGTGTTTTTTTGAACAGATAATTGTATTTATGGGAGCAAGATGGCAACCAAGACCAACTCTGTATTTAACCAATTTTATTTAAAATATTGCCTTTTTTACTTTGTTTACCTGCGTACCCCTGATGTCAACAGTTTTGTGTGGATGTATATTTTATATATTTCAAAAGGTAACAGATAAATATTATATTTTTTGTACAGTTAATTTGATTTATGGAAACATTTAACATTCAAAATTAGATGAGTGACACTTCTCCCAAGAACAGTCATATGGCACCTCTTCGAAAACAACATTACGCCTAAGAATGCAACAAATATATTATTCGAAACACCATCTTTTGCTTGTCTTACTTTGTGCATGTACCTGTGTACCCAACGTCAACAACATTTGCTGTGTATATAATATGAATACATGTCTTTCTATTTGTTTAAGACATTGTCTTGTTAGCATCAGCTCAAAGCACCTCTGTGCCCAGGTACACCCTCACAAAACAAACGTCTAGTTTAGGGATGCACGATATTGGTTTTTTGAAACCGATACCGATAACTTCCTGCTTCTCAAGACCGATACTAAAAAAATGTTTACGCCACTAATTATTTTAACGCGATTAACGCATGTGTATTTTTTTCCTCGGCCGCCCCGTAGTTTCAGAGCGCATCGAGTTTAAAATACCATCTACAAGCTGATGCTGACAGCCCTGCTCCTGCCGCCCGCTTGTGGCAGACCACACTTCCACGCTCACCGGCAGGGCACCGACTGGCTGTTGGGAGGACCGGGAGGGTGTGTGTATGTGTGGCCCAAGCGAGCGAGAGAGAGACCTTACGTGTATTGTTGTTGTTAGCATCTGGTGCTAGCTAGCAGCGCTAACGGATATAAGGAGCTGCTTAAATGAAAACAGAGGAGCGACATTTCGCCACAACTGCGCCGAGCACTTGACTTTATGCAGGAAGCCAGACAGTGGGACATTGTACGAAAAGTCAGCACACTCATCACGGATAGTGCGCAACATGATTGCAGCGTCCAGGCAGCTCCGGTTCGAGCATATGCCTTGAGTTGCACATAGCTCCAACGCCCATACCAACGACGACATGTTTGTTTACTGTCCTGGCTTCACGGCCGCACACCATTTACGTCACAGCCAGGCATGAGTTAGGGAGCGCTGGATTTGTGAAAAACTCCCCTCTTCCTAAACCACTAATACCACAGTACTGGCAAACCGGGAGGAGCCGAGTGAAAAACAAGCGCCCCTCATCCCAATCCACCCACACCGCAGTATTTTTTTCTTTTTTTTCCCCCAAAAAATATATTGTATATTATCGGGGCTATTAATACTGGTATCGGGTTTATCGGGATGACGTCATAATTCCTAATATCGGACCGATAATTATCGTGCATCCCTAGTCTTGTAAATTGAGTTCCCTTTGTGATTGATCCGACTAAAACTTGAATAAATCTAGCGTCTGGTACACTGACCTACAAGTTCAGTACCATCATGAGATTAGCAGTGCTTGGCCTCATCTTTCCCCGTCTATAAACAGACTTGTCATAGGAGAACTTGGTGCGACTCCATTTGAAGTGTCACTGTGTACGGTGGCATCCATAATAGTGTTCTTACAACTCGTACACTAAAACCTCCCTGACGGTAATGAAAAACGTGAGGAATGTTCAGCTTTCAGCCAAAGAGACGCTGGCAGATTTTCTTTTTCTAATTGAGTTCATTTCTGTCCATTTCAAACAGGAAGTGGGATTAGATCACCAATTTGTTCAAAGTATGAATGGCCGCTTTTTTTGCACAGACAAGCTCTCTCTTTCCTGGCCGTCCTCCAACTTGGCAGCAGTGACAGTAAGCTGCTTTTGAATCAGAAAACATGTAATTTATTCCCCAACACTCACTGCAGCCATAATGGACAGTCAGCTCTTTCACAACGTCACAGTTTCAAGTTTTTCAGCTTTTATTTCTGGTTCACATTCTCCACCTACAGCAATGAAAGGAGACTTATGGCACTTTTCCACTGCAGGACCTAGCACGGTTTAGCACAGCTTAGTTTGGCCTTGGTAGGCCAGGCTCACTTTATGCTGCGTTTCCATTACAGTTTAGTAACTGGGGTAGTAACTATAGTAACGCAGTGTAGGCGGGGCGATCGGCTGTTCGGCGGGCGGAGCGACGCTGTGTAAAACTGCCGTGACGTCATCTTCAATGCGAACCACAAAACCAACATCAGCCGTTAGCAGTTAGCACACAGAGATCACAGCTCCTCATATCTGTTCAGAAACTAGACACAAGTTAAACAATTACAAACCACAGACTGCCTGTGTCATGGCGAATACAGTCGCTGCTTTATTTATGTCAGTAGGCCGTTGTTGTGAGTGTGGACGGTCGGAGCATATATACAACGTTAGCTTAGCCGATCTCCATTCAGAAAACCTGCCGTCTGTCTGCAGACCGGTATCAGTATATTGTTACTTCGGCGTAATTTTGAAACGTGTATTACAATTAAATCACGGTCAAATATGTTCATGTTGTTGTAGTTGTAGCCCCCCCCACCCTTGCCAGCGATTCTCTCTGACCACTCAGCAGTCGAGAGTGTTTACGTCACTAGTTGAGCATATTCAGCCCGGTTGTTGGCCCGGTAAGAACCTCGATTTTGGAGGGGCAGAAAAAAGGTGAAAAAGTAGCTCTGAGCCGGAACTAGCCCGAGAGGAAAAGCAAAAAAAAGACTTGCTACGTGCTGCAGTGGAAAAACGCCATAACAAAGGTTACCTAGAAAAAGAAAAAAAATGGCATCCAGTGCAGCAATTACTCAGGTGATGGTTATGGATGAGAGGCTTGTGTGAGACAGAAAGAAAGCTCATTTGAATTTAAAACAAACTTTTGTGGTTCGTAGGCCTTTGTTTTGGATTAATACCGTTTTAGGAGAGGACACATATTGGATCTGAGGACTTCTAATTCACTTTAAAACCAGAAATGATCATATCTTCCCTAAACAGATTATATAGGAATCATGGGGTTTGAAGGTTTAAAAGTCAGAAAATATAATCATTGATAAAGATTGTGCCCTGTTTTGCAAAGTGTTCAGTCAGCGGTTCTAGCCTGTTGATAAGATATGTCACGAAGCACAGGGTGGACTGTCTTGATATCTGGATTAGACATTAACTGTCCTCAGTGGATGATTCCTAAGAAACCCCTTGACTTTTTTACTTCATTAATCATCGGGTTATAATGCCCCTTGCATGGTGTCCCGAAAACAACAAATGTCATTAAGGTGTCCAAAAGGTCCAGTTTATTCTCCCCAGGGGGACGAACCCTTGACATTGAGGCACTTTATAATCTTCCCTTTGATACAAATTAGTGTTTACATCGTATTTCAAAATGTAAGAAATAGACTGCCATGAAATACACTCAGCAAAAAGTGTGCTTCTTAAGAGATGTTGACTTCAAGGTCCTGTCAAAGACACATGGTACATTTCTAGATCTTTAATGGTAGCATAGATGCTGCACGATTAATCGTAACTTAATTAATATCGCAATATGGACTGGTGCAATATCCAAATAGCAGTAAACACAATCAAATGAAAATATCTGAATAAAGTATTTTAGAGGTTCCTATAGTCCCGGCCTTCAAATCGCTTTCTACAGTCATAATAAAAAACATCCTTGCTTGGTACAGATCCTCTCAAATCATGATTATTTGAATATGTTTGCCAGTGAGATTATGAATTATGTTTAAATTGAATTACTCGTATGGCGAATGCAATATCAGTCAAAGTAATTGGAATTAGACATTTTTTCCCAAACCGTGCATCTCTAGTAAGATGGCAATAATTGGGTGAGGTTCATAGATTGAACCATAGGAAACCTAATAAAAAAAGAGCCTATAAGGAGATCAGATTCCTCAGACCCAAGGATATTCACACCCGATCCAAAATACAGTCTACGCAAACACACTCGCGTGAAAACACCACCACTGGCAGTAGCATGATGATCCAGTAAATAAAAGCATCTTAAGTAGGGCTGAGCGCTATATGTAATATGGATATATCGTGATAGACAAGCCTAGATTTTGAATTAGACTATGGATAAAGTAATACGGTAAGGGTTTCCTTTTCCCAGGTTTTAAAGGCTGACTTAAGAGTTAAAAGGTGGGGTAGGTAAGAATGGAGAAACCAGCTGAAAGTACGCAGCTGAAAGAAATCTGCCACTTCCTTCAGACTTCCTCACAGAGCCCCTCCTCCAACACACACGAACATGACCAATGAGGGCACGAGATAAGTTAGAGCACAGATGGAAGGCTGACAGGCAGGTAGGCCATCCAGTTACTTTAGCCGGCTCAGATGATTGGTCGTGCTTTTTACAGCGCCACGGCTTCCAGAGGTGATATTTATTTATGGATTTATTGTCAAAGCATTTAATATATTCATTGCTATCGGGACGTTAAAGGTGGGGTAGGTAAGTCTGAGAAACCGGCTCGAGATACACTTTTTGTTATATTCCATGGAATGCTCTTAACATCCCGATAGCAATGAGTATCTGAAGTGCTTTGACAAAAAAGCCATAACAAATGTCACCTCTGGAAAACGTAGCGCTGTAAAAAGCACGACCAATCATCTGAGCCGGCTAAAGTAACTGGATGGCCTACCTGCCTGTCAGCCTTCCATCTGTGCACAAACTTATCTCGTGCCCTCATTGGTCATGTGCGCGTTGGAGGAGGGGCTCTGTAAGGAAGTGGCAGATTTTTTCCGGCTGAGTATTTTCAAATTCTAGCGCGCTTACCTACCTCACCTTTAACTGATGTA